GGGTTCGAGCCCCGCGTCGGGCTCTGTGCTGACTGCCAGCTCAGAGCCTGGAGCCTGTTTCAGCCTGTGACTCCCTCTCTCTCTGACCCTCCCCTGCTCATGCTGTCTCTCTCTCTCTCTCCTAAAAATAAATAAAACATTAAAAAAAAATTCAAAGATACCATAGATTCACTAGGCTCTGCTCTGCTAAATATAAGGCAGGAAAGCTGGTGCTTGTATCTTACAAACAGTTGCAATAATATGCCTTAAAACAATCAAAATGTTTGTAATCTAGGCACCTGGGTGGCTCAGTCAGTTGAGTGTCTGACCTCAGGTCAGGTCTTGATCTCATGATTGAGGAGTTTGAGCCCCACATAAGGCTCTGTGCTGACAGCTCTGAAGCCTGGGGCCTGCTTCAGATTCTGTGTCTACCTCTTTCTGCCTCTCCCCCACTTACGCTCTGTCTGTGTCTGTGTCTGTCTCTCTCAAAAATAAAGATTAAAACATTTTTTAAATGTTTGTAATTTTCCAGGTTAACCACATAGTCCAGTCAACTATATTCCTCACTCTCCAGGGCTTGCCTTTTTTACGTCTAGGGTCGGTTCCACCTTTGTTGTTCCCTTCCAGACCAGGTAAGTGCTAGCAGGTTGCCCTTTTCATCATCATGTCCACACCTCATTTTTCTGGCCTCTGCCTTGGCCTTGACTAAATTGGGAGAGTGTCCTATCTTTCATTTTGATCTGTTCCCTGACCAGCCAGGAGCAAAAGGGAGTGTCAATCAGTGGGACCCCTCCATCTGTGGTAGTGGACAGTGTTAGCGGAATGTGCATGGGTGGATCCTGAGAGCAGGAAAGAGAGGGCCACCATGCCTCTGCTCTCAAGATGAGGAATGTGGGACTATGTGCAAGAGCTTGGACAGGAAGAAAGGGCCCCAGCCCTTTGCCAAGACCTGGTAAGGATAACAGCACTGTTGTTCTGGGTCTAAGAGCCAAAGAGTTTGCCTAGACTCAAATAGAAGAATCTGTAGAATGTCCTATATTCTGGATAAAACTGAGAGGAGCACCCAAGAAAATTGGAGGGCAAGTTATCAGTGAAGGCAGGCCAGTCCTTGAGAGCAGCTCCCCAAATGAGTGGAATTGTGTTTATGCATCACTTGTAGCCGGGATCATGGTCCCCGAATGCTGAGGGGAGATAAATGCTCTCCAATAGCCACAGTATGACCAGAAAATCAGAGGATAAGGCCCTGCCTGTAATAGTTGAGTGCCTGCTGTCTTTGTGGCCACTATGTCCAGACCTGGCCATGCAGCTCCTGTAGTTATAAAAAGAGATGGCAGTACCTGCCTTCCTTGCTTCCAGGACTCTTCTGACAAACACAGGACTAAAAGCACATTAAAATTCAGGGTGCACTAAAAGTAAGGGAGACTACGGTTGTTAATTTAATCTCCTGAAGAGGCATGAGAGGTCCATGGAGGAAACAAAAGAACACCTTCTTGTTAGTGGCGGGCTGACTAGTGGTTTTATAAATATTATCTCCTCTGGTCATCTGTAAGGCAGGTGCTATTATCTCATTTTGCAGTTGAGAAGAGAATCTGAGGCTCAGCAAGGGGAAGTGACTTGCTCAGGGTTGTAGGAGTTGACTGAATACCATGGGGTCAGTACCTGGGAAGAGTATGATCAGAACACTCCATAGGAAGGACACCTTCTCCAGGTTTGCCTCCATGTAGAGGGTAGAAGTACCAGAAGAAGAGCAAGAGGAGACTTGAACCCTGTCATTTGTGCTGGAGCCAAAAGCCCATGAGGCAGGGCATGGCTCATCAAGAGAGCTCTTTTAGTAGGCTTGTTTGCCTCCTAAAATAGCCTTGCTGAAATAAGACTTGTTGCTCTAATGGGAGAAAGCTGGTGTTCCCAAGTGCCAAGTCAGGGCTGGTGGTGTCTCCAAGGCCGCCTGGAGTTCTAGATACTGTCTGGAACCCTACACAGCTCTTGCAGCCTCAGCTGCTTCACCACTGAGCTCTCCATTTAGTTGTCCCAAGAAGAACTCCACCTGGTTTTCCTTCAGTTTCTTCTGCAGTTGAAGGGCCAGTGCCTGCTCATCCTCAATCTTACTGTTCTGCTGATTGATGTCAAACTCCTTCCTGGAGGAGAAGGGAGGGGTGACAGGGGGTCTTCAGTCCTCTGTGCCCATTCTCCTCTCTTGCCTGGCATGCTAGGACCACCCCCTCCCCACTGGCACAGAGGGTGAATGCCAGAGGTCTGTGTGACCTCCTCATTCACACTGTGCCCCGGATAGTCAGAGTCAGCAGGGTTGTGGCATCCTGTGCTCTAACCCTCAGGCCTGACATCTCCATTTGCCCTTCTGGGCCACCTCAGGCTCCTACTTCTTGAGCTTTTCTTCAAGCTGCTGCTTGTCGTTCTCCAGGTCCATGATGCTCTCCTGGGTCAGCTTCAGGTCGCCCTCCAGCTTCCGCTTTGCTCGTTCCAGGTCCATGCGCACCTTCTTCTCCTGCTCCAGGGACCCCTCCAGCTGGTGGAGAGAAGAAAACAAGGTATGGAAAACTTTACATCCACAGTGCATGCTCTTCTGCTTCCTTCTAAACTCAGAGTCCAGTGGGATTGAAGGTCAAGCTAGCAGAGAAATTCCTGCAAGCATAAAAAATTCTGAGTCCCCGTCTAGTGAGGAATTGCAGAGGTCATAGAAGTTAGCTCTAAGAACCAGGAACACCTTGGCCATTAATGTTGCCTGCAAAATCCTGACCTGAGAGAGACAGAGCATGGTTCTTACTACTCACATCATCCACCTGCTGCTCCAGCTTGACCTTAGACTTAGTCAGGGTGTTGACTTTGTCCTCCTCAGCCTGAAGGTCATCTAGGGCCTGCTGGTGGGCCTCTTGCAGAGCCTTCTTCTCCTTGGTCAGCTTGGCGATGATCTCATCTAGCCCAGCCATCTCTTCTGTCAGGTTCTTCACCTGGCAACCAAAAACCCCATCCCATTTAGAGTCAAAGGTCACCAGCCCAGAGACATCTATGGGGATGTCCAATGCCAAGGACCAGGACCACCTTGTGGTCTGGGAATCCTGAGGAGATCTGGGCTGGAGCCAGAAGGAGCTGCCCTCACCTTGTTCTCTGTTGCATGCTTCTCCTTTTCCACTTTGGCCAGTGTCAGCTCCAGGTCGTCAATGTCCTTCTTGAGCTCAGAGCACTCATCTTCTAGTTTTCGTTTCTTGGCAGTGAGCTCTGCATTCATCTCCTCCTCATCCTCCAGCCTCTCTGTCATCTCCTTCACCTTGGCCTCCAGCTGGATCTTGTTCTTGATCAGCTGGTCGCAGCGCTCCTCTGCATCATTGAGGTTATCTTGTTCCTGGGAGAAGAGGAAGGAGAGCAGAACTGATGATTAAAGAGAGAAGAGATCCAGGATCTGGGTCCCTGGGGGTGAGATGGGCTATAATCCAGCAGAGGAAAGGGGGAGAGATGAAGAGATAATTGTGTGGCTTTACCGCCTGCACTTGGAGCTGGAGGTCGTTCTTCTCCTGCAGCAGGGACACCATCTTTTCCTCCAGCTCTTTGCGGCGACCCTCCGACTTTTCCAGCGCCTCTTTGATGCGCCCAAACTCCTCCTTCATGGTGGCCATCTCTTTCTCTGTCTCTGCACTCTTCAGCAGTGGCTTGATTTTGAAGTAGAGCTTCATCCAGGGCCAGTTCTTGACCCCCATGAAGGCCCGAATGTTCCACTGGATTACCAGCAGGGCATCCCTGGGAAGGAAACATGGAGGTAGGAAGGAGCACTCTAAAAGAGCACTTCCCAAACATGGGACCAACTGCACTTGGCTCCCAGCCCATCTAAGCAAGTTCGTAGGCACCTGAGTGTTGGAGCCCTGTCTTGTCGCCTTGATGTGCACCTCCACCCCAACATTACCTCGCTGATCATGGAATTGCCCAATAAATATTTATTAATTGAATAATTCAACAAGAAGGTGGTTTATATCTTTCCTGCTGGGGCACTAGTAGTAATGAAAGCTATGCCACTCAGAATGTCTACTAAATTCAATGTTTTTAATCCCATAAGAACTGCAAATATGTTAAAACTTATATTTTACAGCTAAGAATATCTATAGCATATATGTAAATTATGAAGCATGAAATAGAATCACTAATCATGAATCTATCAATTGTTCAAACAACAACTAGAGCCATTACCAATGTTGACTGTACCTGTGTACTTCTCCCCAACCTCTTTCTTGGTCCCCTCACCAGAAGCAGCCACTATCCTAAATCTTGTGTTTTTCATTTCCTTACTTTTTCAAAACACTCTTTAACTCTATGTGTATGTGTCTTTAAACAATATGTCACTGTTTTTGGTTATCTCTGAGTTTTATAAAAATTGCATTACACTGTATGTATCCTTCAGTGACTTGCTTTTGCTCACTCAATAGTATGCTTTAGAGGCTCATACACATTGTATCATGTGGTTATAAGTCCCTCCTTTCATTGCTTTATAATACTCCACTGATCAACTATACTATTTACCCATTCCCCTGGGTATGAAAATTGGAGTTGTTTCCAGATCTTTGCTATTGGTCAATGGTGCTATATATATATATATTTTTTTTTTGTCTCATGTTATACATGTGCAGGAGTTTCTGCGGGAATGCACTTAGGAGTGGAATTGGAAGGTATTCAATTGTCCATCTTTTTTTTTTTTTTTAAGTGATCTCTATACCCTACGTGGGGCTCACACTCACAACCCTGATTAAGAGTCGCATGCTCTATGAACTGACATAGACAATAAAAATTGTCCATCTTTATTTTTTGTTAATTTTTTAAAAAGTTTATTTGTTTATTTTGAGAGAGACAGAGAGAGGGTGAGTGGGGGCCAAGGGAAGAGCAGAGAGAGAGTGAGAATCCCAGGCAGACTCTGCATGGTCAGCACAGAGCATGATGTGGGGCTTGAACCCATGAAACTGTGAGATCATAAGCTGAGCTGAAATCGAGAGCCAGATGCTTAACCAGCTGAGCCACCCAGGTGCCCCACAAGAGTCCATCTTTAAAAGATAATAAATTGTTTTTCAGGAAAGGTGTGCTAATTTACAGACTTCTTGACTTTTGTCAACCTAGTGTTTTTAAATGGTATCTTATTGAAGCTTAATTTGCATTTGCTTATGAGGAATTTTCTTTCTTTCTTTTTTTTTTTTTTAAAGAATTCAAAGTGAGACCCTGAGTGGTAAAGTCACTTGTTCAAGCCAGCTAGTGAGTGGTGAAGTCAGAATTTGAACTCAAGTGCTCTGACCCATGTTAGTTAGAGCTGCTTGTTTCCCTGTTAGATCTGGGAGAGACTTTCCCTTTCCTTTGCCTCACCTGCGTTCCACAATCTTCTTGAACTCAATGCGCATGAGCTGGCCCCGGGCTTGTGCCTGGATGCGGGTGATGATGCGGCTAAGCCTCTCGTCCCTCATCTCCTCCAGCAGACCCAGGAGCCCAGCCTTGAAGAACACCTGAGAGCAATAGGGCCACAGGCTCAGAAAGGTAGCTAGGGTGGAGGAAGAGGGTGGGAGATGCTGACTGAGCTCCCAGGGGACCTATCACCCATATATCCTAGACCTCAGAGTGAAATATGAAAAGAAGACAGAAAGAAGCCTGGGTTCCAGCGCTTGGGTTGATTCAGGAAGCCAAGATTCAGGGGCCTGCTTTCTAAACTCTTAGCTGCTCCACTCAACATGGCTGCGCGTTCCACAGCTCCACCCTGTGAGGTTTTAGACCCACCTTAGTGTGGCCGAACTTGTACTGGTTGTGGTCAATGTCCAGCGAGCCCAGCAGCTTCTCTGTCCCTTTCCTGCTGTCAATGAACTGACCCTCAGGGATGGCTGTTGGGTTAAGGATGCGATACCTGGAGAAGGAGGTGTCCAGATTCACTCATGTTCTGTGCTGACCTGTTCTGCCCACAGCATTCAGGGACACTTGTGGACTCCCCTCCCCACAAGGTCTGCCCAGGCTCCCCCTGTTCCCTGGGCCCCAGGACACCCAGTACCCACCTCTGCCGGAAGTCTCCATAAAGGATGCGGTTGGGGAATCCCTTCCTGCAGATGCGGATGCCCTCCAGGACTCCATTACAGCGCAGCTGGTGCATGACCAGGGGGTTGTCCATCACCCCTGCAGCAGGAGAGAAGGAGAAAGGGTCGACCTCAAGGCAAGTGGATGCCAAGTGCCCTCCACAGATAGACCCTTACACATCGCTCACCTGGAGCCTTCCGTTCATTGGGGATGATGCAGCGCACAAAGTGAGGGTGGGTGGTCCTCAGGTTGGTCATAAGCTTATTCAGATTCTCCTGGGGGTGGATGAGAATGGGCAATCAGGAACCACAAGAACCATCTTTTTGGTCCCTGAGCCCCTGACATCCTGTCTCCAGAACTCTTAAAGGCACTGAGAGTTGACACATAATTTATGATGTGAGTTCAGGCTTGTGTAGAATTTCCATGCCTGAAATTACCACATAACTCTAGCTTCTTTCCTTCCCAACCTCAGAACATCAGGTTAGGTGACAGCCAAAGGGCTGGGCCTGCCCACCACGGGCCTCTTGGTATCTCTGGGTCCTTCTTACCCGATGGAGGGCCGACACTGTCTGAAAGGATGAGCCTTTTTTCTTCCCTCCTTTGCCTTTACTGCTGTCCCCTAATAACAAGAAAAGGGATGAGGAGCCAGAGTCTGAAAGTGGAAGAACCCTTGGGGAGGGGCAGGGCTCTGCCCCCTACTAGCTGTGTGACTTCACAAAGTGATTCTTTATGTCTCAGGTTTTCCAGGAGGAGAATGGTAATTGCCTCTAAAAGATGTGATGAAGATTAGATAAGTTTGCTTGCTACATAATACGTGCTGAAATAATATCAATGCTCCTCTCCCACCTTCTAATCCCGCCCTTCATGCTTACATCTTTCCATGGGCTACCTTCCTTCTCATTGTTCATCCTCCTCATTCCAATCCACACCCTTCCTCTTCCTTCTCTGAATGGGACACTCACTTGTTCTACCAGATGTTCAGTTATCCTCCTACAGGCACAACTCTATCTTGGGCCTGGTGCTGTGATGCATGTGCCACCCTCACTGACCTCCAGATGCTCACAGTCTTGAGGAGACACAAGACATGTACAGCAATATCCATAACATAAAGTGAAAAACAGCACTTTCACAGATTGGGTACAGATGGATGCCTGTGGGACCTCCTGACCCTCATCCTGTGGCTGGAAAGCAGGCTCCCTTCACATGCTTTGAAGCAGCGGGACCCTGGCCCTCACAACTTCAGAACTGCTCTGACCCAGTGCAGGGCCTGCCCTCTTACCAACATCAGCAGAAGCGTATGAGGAGAAGAGTGTGGCCATGAGCTTGAGGGAGGACTTCTGGTACAAGCCCACCACTGTCTCGTTGAGTGGATCTTTGTTCTTCTCCAGCCAACCCAAGATGTTGTAGTCCACAGTGCCGGCATAGTGGATCAGGGAGAAGTGGGCTTCCTGCTTCCCCTTGACATTGCGTGGCTTCTGGAAATTATTGGACTTGCCCAGGTGGTTGTCATATAGCTTGGCCTTGAAGGTCATGTCAGTGGCTTTGGGGAACATGCATTCCTCTTCCAGGATGGACATGATGCCCATGGGCTGAGGGTAGGGGAAGAGGTAGAGAGAGCATCACTGCATGCACTCCCAGGTTTCCAGAGTCCCACACCCTGCCAGAGCAAAGACTATAGCCTGGCATATCTGGCAGGCTACAGAGTCTGTGCTAGCACCTCTTGTCCCAGTATAAGAACCTAATATTCCTGGAGTTATCATAAACCCAGTTATATTCTGGCCTACATAACCTCTTTGTGCCCCAGTGGACCTAACAGAGAGCCCTGTGCTCCCAGCTGTCCTGTCAGGTCCCCAAGCTCCTGCAGGAAGTCCCTTCTTCTTCTAAGGCTCCTTGCCCCAGGGACAGGTGTGCGTCAGAGGTGCCAGACCAAGGGGTGGGCCAGACCCCTGTCTATGTGATAGATAACAGTTATTCAAGGGATGGTTAGAGGGATCCAGGTTCTGCACAATATCCTGCTCTTCAGAAAGGACGATGATTCTTGACTCTTCTTGGGGCAGGAATTGTAATGAGAATTTGATTGAACTAAAGATGCCTCCCTGGGAAAAAGCATGTGTTCTCCTCTCTCTCTCTCTCTCTCTCTCTCTCTCTGTCTCTCTGTCTCTCTCTCTCTCTTTTCCATATAATTTGAGGCAATTCTGAGGCCTATGGAAGAGCAACACCCTGAATAACCACCCAAAGCTTCTGGTAAGTTCACATTTTCTGAAGGGCCTGTCTGGGTGAGGGTAGTTATTCCAGGCTCTGGTTCGTACCAGCAAAATGCAAAGGCACATTGGGGCACCTGAGTGGCTCAGTCAGTTAAGTGGCCCACTTCAGCTCAGGTCATGATCTCACAGTTCATAGGTTGAGGCTAGCTCAGAGCCTGGAGCCTGCTTCAGATTCTGTGTCTCCCTCTCTCTCTGACCCTCCCCTGCTCACATCCTGTGTCTCTCTCTCTCTCTCTCAAAAAACTAAATAAACATTAAAAAAAATTTTTTTTTTAAATGCAAAGGCACATTGAGAACAAGTCAGCACTGGGAGTCTCACACCAGCTCCATCCTTGTCTCCTCTGAGTCTATAGATAAGAGGGGCTGAAAGCAGGCTTATTCTCTGCTATCAGGAAGAGGAGAAGCCATATGTCTCTAGCTTTAGCCTGGGGGCTTTTCATGAATGATGCTTCTCATGGGATGTCAGTGAGGCCAAGAGTCCTCTCTTCACTACATCTCCTTTTTAAAACTCTGAAAGATGACTACCATGCAGGACAAGTTCTTAGGTCCTGGGGAGAGAGAAAAAGGGCTCATCCTCTGTATGCCCATGACATTACAGTAGGTGAAAACTGGGTCTGAGAGAGGCTTGGGATTCTGGAGACTTCAGTATCTTGGTTGTAGAAGGGATAGCACTGCTGCTGTGCCTGGGATGAAAGGGGAAGGGGACACACACAGGTGTCAGGGTGGAGGCGGCACCTTCTCAATGAGGTCGATGCAGGCCTGCAGGTCCATGCCAAAGTCGATGAACTCCCACTCGATGCCTTCCTTCTTGTACTCCTCCTGCTCCAGCACGAACATGTGGTGGTTGAAGAACTGCTGCAGCTTCTCGTTGGTGAAGTTGATGCACAGCTGCTCAAAGCTGTTGAACTGAAAGGGGCAAGGGTGGAGCGGGTCAGGCAGGCAGAGGTTTGAGAGGACACTGGGGTCATCCCAGGCCTGTGCCCCAGTCCAGTTAGGGGTGTGGCCGCACCCCTCCCCTGTCAGGCCAGGGAGAGAGAGCCCCCCTGGAAGACAGGATGATGTGTCTATCTCCACTGAGCCCCACCACCTTTCCTGCTCCTGGCCATGATGGTCACAGGTGCAGATGAATGAATTACTGTAACCCCATGCCCAGGCTCCCCTAACTCACATCAAAGATCTCGAAGCCAGCGATGTCCAGGACTCCTATGAAGTACTGGCGTGGCTGCTTGGTCTCCAGGGTGGCATTGATTCGTGTCACCATCCAGTTGAACATCTTCTCGTACACTGCCTTGGCCAGTGCCCCAATGGAATAGTACACCTGTTGGACGCTCTGCCCCTTGGTGACATACTCATTGCCCACTTTCACCCGAGGGTGACACAGCCCCTTGAGCAGGTCGGCTGAGTTCAGCCCCATGAGGTAGGCAGACTTGTCGGCATCTGGTGGAGATGGAAATAACTAATAAGCACTTTCAACAGACCTCCTTTCCTTGCCCCAGAGCCTTTCTGAAGCATCAAATCCGACCTCTCTCACTAAATAATTGCAAATCCAGGCCTGGAAGGGCACAAGGCTTGCCAGGGCTACCCAGCCAGCATGCAGTCAGGCCTCTCCATCTGTCCAGAACCTCCTACCACCCAGTAATTCCTCTCATCTCTGTCTTTGCATCTACTGGGTGTTCCTGGGCCAAGCCCTTCACCAGCACCGCTGTGAGCTCATCCTTGTCCTCACTGCCCCCTTGTGTCTCCAAGGCAGGGACTGTAATTGACAGGGAAGGCATGTGCTGCTCCCTGTCTCCTTTGCTCCCATTCTAGGATCTGGCCCATTCTATTCTTAATCCACGTGGGTTTTCTTCAAATTTTGTATTTATTTATTTATTTATTTACTTACTTACTTACTTATTTATTTATTTATGAGGGGCGGGGTGTGAGTGAATGAGGGGCAGAGAAAGAGGGAGAGAGAGAGAGAGAGAGAGAGAGAGAGAATCCCACGCAGGCTCTGCACTGTCAGCATGAGACATGAAGTACTTTGAGCCAGAACTCACCCAATGCAGTGCTTGAACTCACAAACTGTGAGATCATGACCTGAGCCAAAGTCAGATGCTTAATCAACTGAGCCATGAAGGTGCCCCCAATCCACACGTTGACCAACTTGACCAGCTGGGAAATCAAGGTTCCTAACAACATGTTACGCACCCCCAGCTCTCCAAATGTGCCATCCAACATATGATCTCTATTTAGAGGAAATTTATTTGATTTAATTTCAAGAGTTTTGTGGTAGCTGGTGACATACTATCATGAAACCCAGGCTTGGCATTTTGATATGGATAGACACAGAGAAGAGGTCCTTGAAGACAGGCTAAGAGGAACGTTCTTAAGCATTTGTCTAGCCCTATACACCTTCACATCTCCTTCTCCAGGAATTTTTACCACAGCCTGGAGTGAGCTAGGAGGGACTGTTCCGTTTCACTAAGGAGGAAACTGAGGCCCAGCAAAGTGTGTGACATGTTAATGTCAAGCTGTATTTTGACCCCTGGCTTTTGCCTCCCAAATAGAACATGGCACAGAATCCGAACAGGCCTCACCCAAGGGCTAGGGACCCTCCACATACATACCGCATTAATGATCAGGATGTACAGAGTTCAGAGTCTGCTTTCCTGAGCTTAGGTGAGTCTTGGGCCCAGGAGGAAACATCCCCAACTCATGGCTGGGGTTGAATTGTTGGCTGGATTGTGAGGGACCTCCTGTCTGCCCACCTCTCTCACATCTTTGCACCTCCCTGGCTCTCACCCCATCCATCTACCATACAAGCCTCAGGTCCCTAGGGAGCAGGCCTGTCTGAGGACAGTGGGTGGCCTCTGGCTCTGACAAGGAGAAAGCTTGCAGGTAGGGCTGGATGGGGTGAGGGTGAGGGCAGAGCCTGCTTCTGGGAAAAGGTACTGCCCTCTGACCATGTGCTTCTTGTACTTCTGGTTTCCTCCAACTTTCTCTATATTGTCCTAATAACCTTAATAAATTTGGTTGTCAACTCTTTAAGAATTGTTGAAAGACACCACTTTTGGATGCAGCTTAGGAGACCCTGCTCCCAGTGGACTATCTCCTCATGACAAGTGAACGCCCAGCACCTCAGGCCTTTTCAGCACCTGTCCTCCCACCCCCACCTTCAGTGCCATCTGGCTCAGCCTGCTCCTCCCGCTGCTTCTGCTTGAACTTCATGTTCCCGTAGTGCATGATGGCACCCGTCAGCTTGTAGGCCCCGGCTTTCTCTTCAGGAGTGAAGCCCAACACGTCAAAGGCACTCTGGGAAAGAGCAAGAGAAGCAAAGAGGGTGGTTGAATCGGGTGGTGCAGGAGCCCTCAGGAGCTCTCATGCTGCCTCCTTACTCACGTCTGTGGCTAGGAGCTCCTCGGAGTCATCGATGGAGGCCACAGACACCTCTCCCTGAGACACGAAGGCGTAGTCGTAGGGGTTGTTGGTGACCAGCAGCATGTCTGTCCAGGCAAGGAGTAGGGCAGGGGACAAGGGAATGGGAGAGGGCGGGATGGAAAGAGAGGAGTTGGGAGAGGGGCACCGTGGGGATGGGGCAGGGACAATAGAGGAGAGGACCAGGAGCAGGGGGAGAGAAGGAGAGTCAGCAAGGACCATGCAGAGAATCCAAAAGACTTGAAAAGGCAGACAGGAGACCCGGGGAGGGAGGACAGTGGGAGAATGACCCTTGGGAGAAGGGCAGGCGCAAAGAGGAAAAGGAGAAAACCAACCCGGAGGAGGATAAGAAATATGACAAAAAGTGGGAAGAGAAGAAAGAGGAGACTCAGGCAGGCGTAGGAAGAGAAAGCCACTGAGTATATCCAAGAAGGAGGGAGGTGAGCAGGAACAGGTGAGGAGGAGGAGGGCAACTGCCCTGTCTGGGGAGGGCACTGTGAGCACTGGGGCATCGGGCGGGCTCACCCAGCAGCTCTGGCTTCTTGTTGGACAGGATCTGGTAGAAGATGTGGTAGTTTCTCTCAGCCTTCAGCTGGAAGATCACCCGAGACTTCTCCAGGAGATCTGAAGTGCAGAGAAGGGAGGAAGGCAGGTAAGACAGGGAAAGAGAGTCAATCCAGAAAATGGTGGAGATAAGGGGAGAAAGGCTCTTAGGGAAAAATGGAAAAAGCCAGGGGAAGATGCAAGGAGATGGAGAGGGAATGTTGAGATAGGGTTGTCCAGCTAGCTGGGAAAGAAAGCAGAGGTAGAGGACACAGAGGGGTGGGCAGGGCTCCCTGTCATACTCACAGGTCTCTATGTCTGCAGAAGCCAACTTTCCAGTGGCTCCGAAGTGGATCCTGATGAATTTCCCCTGGGGGTGGATGGGACAAACAGTGAGGAAATGAGCCAGAAGGGACAGAATGGAGATCTTGGACCTAAATACAATCCAGAAACAATAGATCTGGAAATGTTTATGCCTTATTTGGTGTCCCAGTTTAGTATCAAGAAAACAGAGAAAAGGATCCCTATTCCCCTATTGCCAAATATCTCTGAGCAGAAACAACAGCAGGGGAATGAAGGTAAATATTACTACCTCTGTTTCTTTTTTTTAAATGTTTATTTTTGATGGAGGGAGGGGCAGAGAGAGAGGGGACAGAGGATCCTAAGTGGGCTCTGCGCTGACAGCAGAGAGCCCAATGCAGGGCTCAAACTCATGAACCATGAGATTATGACCTGAGCTGAAGTCAGATGTTCAACCAACTGAGCCACCCAGGTGCCCCACTACCTCTGTTTCACAGATAAGGGAGCTGGGACTTAGGCATGGAGACTTGCTGGGGAGGTGGAAAGCTTGGGAATTGGCTCCAGCACCTATGCTCTCTTCCCACTTCCTATGTGGAAGAGCTTTGGAAACAGTCATTAGGAAAATCTAGAATGTGACAAAAATCAGCTCCATCACTTGGCTATGAAACAGCTATGGTGACTCTGGGTCTCTTTTCTTGAGTTCTCAGAGATCAGGGAGCCAGACTGAGTCAGGAAGGTTAAGGGTGTGTGTGTGTGTGTGTGTGTGAGTGTGTGTGTGTGTGTGTGTGTGCACGTGCACACTTGCTGATAAGCAAAAACCAAACACAGGATGATCAACTGGGTGTAGTAACTGTTAGTGAAACAGTGCCCCCCTTTTCTTGTCAAGGCCAGATGAGGCCAGTTGGCAGTGGTAAAGGGCACTCACAAAGCGGGAGGAGTTGTCGTTCCGGACTGTCTTGGCGTTGCCAAAGGCCTCCAGGGCAGGGTTGGCCTGGATGATCTGGTCCTCCAGGGTGCCCTGTGAAGGCAGCGAAATTTTAAGGGTTTATCTTCTGTCTACCTCCAGCAGTGGGGAGGGAAGGGAGCTGTTCTGATCCTGGGGAATGGGGGTGGGCCTATGGCTCCAAAGGGCCATATTTGGACATCAGAGTGTGTGTCTCCTGCCAGCAAGGTCTTGAGCACTGGGCTCAGTGGTGCTGTCCCCACCATTCCCCTGGGGGTCCTCTGGATCAGCCTGCCTCCAAGCCCCCTCTGCTGATCCTGTCGCCCACCCCATACCTTGTTTGCATTGGCATTGTCCTTCTTGCCACGGTCACCTATGGCTGCAATGCTGGCAAAGTACTGGATGACACGTTTTGTGTTCACAGTCTTCCCTGCACCGGATTCTCCACTGGAGGCAAGAGGGACCCATCAGAACCCAAGATTCCCCCTGTGCTCCATTGTATCCCTTCAGCATTGTATCCTCAATGCATCCTCCCTCAGAATTCCGGCCCTCTAACCTCCTCCACTGGGGCCCAGGGTCCTGCAGAATTTGTGTATCATTGTAGGTCACTCCAGCACCCCTCTGAAAGCCCAGGTCCCCACACAATTACAACCTTGAAATTTTCCTCCCCTCTACACCCCCAGGAATCAGCCTGGGTCCTCCCCATGTCCCTATGTGGGTAGATAGCATTTGCTTACGTGATGAGGATGGACTGGTTCTCCCGATCTGGAAGAGAAAAGAGGAAAGGCAGCAGAGTCAGGTCCATGGGTATGGGGCTGAGGGAGAGCAGGTCAGGGCTGCTAGACTCACCTGTCAGCATGTACTGATAGGCATTGTCAGAGATGGAGAAGATGTGGGGTGGTGCCTCGCTTCTCTTCTTGCCCCGGTAGGCAGCCACCACCTCCGCATTGTACACAGGCAGCCACTTGTAGGGATTGACGGTGACACAGAAGAGGCCGGAGTAGGTCTGGAGCAGGAGAGAGGTCAGGAATGAGGGGCTCAAGTGGGAAGCCTGGGGCAGATGGCGACAGGTTGGGGAGTCTCTTGGTCATCCCAGATAGTTCCTCTCTTCCTGCAGCTGACCCGGGGTAGGAAAGGGGCAGAGGGGAGCTGGGCCCCTTGGGCAAGTTCTGACCCCTATCCTTGAGAGAGTTGCCCTGGCCTCCTTTGGCCTCCATCCAGGGCTGGCTTCCTGTCACATGCACTCACATAGATCATCCAGGCTGCATAGCGCTCCTTGAGGTTGAAGAGCACAGCGGGCTCATGCAGGAAGGTCAGCATGGCCATGTCCTCGATCTTGTCAAACTTAGGTGGGTTCTGCTGCAATACCTGGTCCTCCTTCACAGTCACTGTCTGGAGAGGGTGCATGAACAGGGATGACCACACTCTATCAGGACCCTTGACAGGCGGTACTCGCCAGCCTCACCCACTTACCTCCTTCCAGGACATGGGCCACAACCTGGCCTCCATCCCCCAGCTGTTCTCTGACCAGTGCCCAAGCCCTAACCCATAGCTCCCCCACAACTCTTTCCCCACATAACTTACTGCTCACTCTCCCTCCCATCCTAGGTACTGTCCTAGAGTCCCTGTGTCTTCCCAGTACCCCAGAGTTTGTGCCCCTGAGCGGCACCTTTCCATCCCTGCTTCAACCATCTAGGGGCAAACTTGGTGGGGCTGGCAGCTCTCCTGTCTGTGCACACACCTTAACCTGACTCCTGGGGGCAGTGCTTGAGGGTGTCAGTTGCTCAGGTAAACCTTGCCCTGCTGGAAAACATCTCACCCACTTTCCCTACACCCCTCATGGGTCACTGTCAGTATGGTTTGATTGGCACCAGTTTGCCTGCCCTAATGTCATTAGATCCTGCAGGTAGGCATTCTAGAATTGTTTTTTTTTGTTTTTGTTTTTGTTTTTTTTACAGTGGAGGAAGCTGTGAATAGAATAATTAAATCATTTCCTGTCAGGGTGGATAGCCAGTGGCAAGGCTGGGATCAGAGTCAAAGTCCCCTGCAATTTGTGGGCTGTCATTGCACACCTCTTTGGGACACAACATTTAGTCGGCATGTCTGAAGGCAAACGGTTCTGAGCTGCTACTGATAACCCGTGGTAATTCTCACAGCTGGCCTGAGGAAGCAAGGACTGTGGACATCTGAGTGCTAGTCACCAGCTCTGGGACTGAGTGTTTAGCTCTAAAGTTCACACTTTTTCAATGAACCATGGGAATCTACCCCCAAAACCAAGAGCACACTGTACATACTGTATGTTAGCCAATTTGACAATAAATTATAGTTAAATAATAAACAAACACAAACAAACATTTTTTTTTTAAAAAAAAGAGTTCCTGCTTTTTGTGTTCATCTGGGCCTAAGAGTTTGCTCTTGGTTTGGGTGAGGTTGTAGTTTGGGGGAGCTGGTCCATGGGGGAAACTAAGGCATAGAGGGGAGGGATACACATTCAAGAGGGAGCTTTACTTGATGCTGTGCTTGTGTCTTCTTTATCTACAGGACCCCTCTAAGGCGGAAATCAGCAGAGGTCTTCCCACCCCCGCCCCAGCATCTTCTCTGGCAAAGAGTGTGCGTCTCTGGGGTGCTGCCCTATTACACCTGCTCAGGCCCATCTGAGAGAGGCCAGATTTCTCACTCAAATGTTGAGCTCCTTTAGGGGGCCTGTCCTACTCCCTTGCTGGCTTTGGCTCTTCTCCAGAGCCCCTCAGCTCCCACTGCAAGTGGCCTCATCCCTCATCCCTCACCCCCAGCCAAACCTTTTCTCCTTTTCCCTGGTACTCTGCCCCACACACCTTGCCATTCTCTGTCTCAGCAGTGACCTTGCCTCCTTCCCGGGACACGATCTTGGCCTTCACAAACTCCTCCTTGTCATCAGGCACGAAGCACTCAGTGCGGATGTCGAAGGGCCGGGTCTGGGCCTCCAGACGCTCCTTCTCTGATTTGCGGAGGTACTGGGCTGCCGCCCCAAAATCAGCCATCTGGGCATCAGTCATTTTGGCTCTCCTCTGTGCCTGAGACCAGAGGGCCTAAGCCTCAGTGGGTGGCACTGCCCTCCGTACCTCCACTCCCTGCCACACCTCCTCATCACCTGGGTCTCTTGCTCTCTGACGTGACGCTAGAGGACAACCTCTAAGGAGTTTGCTAAGGGGAGGTGCTGAGTTGTTGGTGGAAGGACAAGGGGCCCTGGTCTAGCAACTTGGCTCCCAAGAGAAAACTGAGAGGTTCTCACCTGGTTATCTCTTCACGGAGAATCCTGAAGACTCTGAACCATGGGTGGAGCCACAGAGGCACAGCCAGGCAGAGGGAAGACCAGACAAAGAAAATGAAGAATAACAGAGGCAGGCCAACAGGGGGAAGTGAGCCAGGAGGCTCAACCCAAAGAGCCAGAGAGCAGGACAGACCAAAGTGGGGAGTTAAGAAAATAGAATAGGCAGCGAGGCAGGAAAGAAAGGACACAGTGTTAGTGAAAGTGCCATGGGTGGAGGAAGAATCAGAGTTGGAAACAAAGAGAGATAAGGAGATGAGAACACACAGCCAGGAAGGAAAGACAAGGGGGACAGACAAAGAAGGACCATATTGACAAGTATTGACAAAGACCAAGAAACAAAATAAAACGAGACAAAGAGCAGAAAGCCATCCAAAAGGGATCAGGATGGAGACAGAGCACGGAAGACACAGAAAGTAGGAGATAACAGAAACAGGGAAAGAAATGCAGATCAGAGGAGAAAAGAGGTTTTGGGCTTTTCCCTTGGAGCCTCCCCTCTGTCCGTGGGAACTCCCCAGGGTTGGAGGGAGACAGTTCTAGAAGAACCCTTCGGCCTCTGACCAACCTGCACCCCACTCCCCGAGGAGGAGTCGTCCCTCAAAGTGGGGGTTCTGGGGGCTGACCACGAAGTCCCCAAAGAGCCTCTTACCTGGTTCAGAGGAGTGTCTGTCTGTCCTCAGGAGCCATCTCCTTTATATCCCACTGCCCCCACCCCTTGCCTAAATTTGGAGTCTTTCCGGAGGGACCCTCCCTCCCACCTCTCTCGCCTTCCAGCTCCTCCTCTCTTGATCCCTTGGCTCTGGAGGTGACAGGAGGACAGCAGCGCTTCCAGATTTGCCCATGAAAGGTCTGTCGCCCTAGCCCCTCTGGCTCCAGGGCCTTTTTTTAGTCCTTGGACACATTCCTTCCCTCCAAAGACCTGATGGGCAGATAGCAGGAAGACAGGACCTTCTCAACACAACCGCCCCTGCCCGCCAGGCCCTTACCTTGGTTATTTTTAACCTGAAGGGTGAGTTGAGCATACTGGGCAAGAGTCACCTTCTCCTGCAGCCTGGATGCTTGTCCCCTGCCCCCCATCCAGGGGCTCCCCTCCCTCCTACCCATTTCCACCCTGGCTTGTCCTCACACAGCCCCAAGCTGGGAGCATCTCCCCACCCCCTACAACCTGCAGTCCCACAGTGCTAGGGGCTGGGATCTGGAGCCATGATGCCCAAGAAAAGGAATCTCCTACCCAGCTCCATGACTCAGTTTCCTTTTATCAGGAAACAAATGTCTGTGCTGCCCTCTCTCTGCACAAATGCAGTACTTGGTTTCCTTCTGTTCCTCAGGTCTCCAGGCAGGTGTCCTCCTGGGGACTTGAGGCTGTACTGCTTTGGGGACCCATATAGAGCAGCCCGGCCCCTCCCCTGATGCTTCTGATATGGTGGCCACCTTCTATCCTTTCAAAAGAGAAGGAATTCTCCCACACCACCAAAGCAGATTTGCACTCAGGTCTGCAGTCCAGTACTCTCACACATCGACCTGACCACCACATACCCATGTGCATTCTTAGTCACACACATGCAGATTTTTTCACACTTTACACTCTCATGCTTGCAGATTTTCCTACTTGCTGTTACGCACACTAATACACACATTTGCGTGCCCACATTCACACGCTGAAGTTTTACCCTCCACTACCACCCTCTGGTCCTGGTGTGGGGCAGGGAGAGGGTGGGGAGAGGCAGGAGGCATTAATCCCGGGGCCTGAGGGAGGAGGGGTGGGGGTGGGGGGGCTGCTCCCTTCCGCCTCTCTGGGCTGCCAGAGGGTGCAGGTGCTGCTGAGGCTGGCTGGGGCCTGGCAGGCCCAAGGATTTACACCAGCTGGGCCCCAGGCTCTACATTCCAGGGGGTGGGGGTGAGGGGCTCTGCAGTCTGTCCCCCTCTCCCCAGGAAGAACTCTGGCGTCCCCTCCCAACCATCCTGGGGCTCATACTCACAGTGCTCTTCTTTGTGGGTGTCCCAAGTGCCTCAGACCCTCCAGGCCCCCCACCCTGGCCTCCAGTGATGACCCCTCTCAGAGGCAGTAGGTGTCGGGTCTTTAGCAGGCCATGCCTGTTATGATTAAGTGGACATTGTGTTCAGGAAACAAAGCCAGACTTCCTCTACTCTGGCTTTCCCCCACACCCTCACATGCAGGAACACTCTCCTAGCTCCCCCTCCCACCCCATCCACTGTCACCTCTCAATATAGCTCTAGAGTGTGGAGGTGGGTAGGACAGATGAGGGTCAGTTTCTCCGGGTAGGAGAAATTTCCATTAAATATATAACTTCGCCTGCAAGGTCCACAACTCCCTAGGACCCTCCACTGCTCCATTATTAGATTCAGGAATTCACATCCATCTCCATAGGACTTGTACCCTATACCTAGTGTTCTTGGGGGTGACCTGAGTCAACTCCACATCCATATCTCTTGCAGGTACATACACCAAAATGTCACCCCAAAGGATGCAGGCCACTTTTCCCCACCTCTAGGTCACTTGAGGCCTTAGTGTCAAACTGGGGGGTTAGCCCAGTGCGTCACTCCCTGGTTCCCATTACCCAGGGGATGTGATAAGGGACTAAGAACACCAGGTCAGGCTGGGTCAGGTCCAGCTGACAAAGACTAAGCTTTGTCCTCAGGGAACCCCGTGTCCTGAGCAGACCAGACTCAGTAGAGGTGGAGTGGTGGGTGAGGGGTAGGCTAGCAGTGCCTACTGTCTCCAATGGAAGGAGGAAGAGGGAAGGGGTTAAGTTGATTCCAGGGCTCTGCCCCCCTGTCTGGTCCATTTGCCCTCCTTCTTCCTTCCGGATAGGTCCCTACCTAGCCCCAGGCCCTTAAATACATCCCTGTGTTCCACCCTCCCTCGTCTGCCTCCTACAAAGCTCCTCATTGTGCTGGAAGTCCTGGAGTATAAGGACATGGGGTGGAATCTCTCGCCACAGGTGAGGGACACCAGGTCACCTCCCGGTGCCTGGCTCTTTGGATCTCTGACCTCCCTTTCCCCCTGCTTGGTTTCCTATCTCAAAGTTGGGCCTGGCCTCCAATTCTCCCTGGTGCTAGGTTTCTGCCCATCTTGGAGTCTGACGTCCCTACATCTCCAAGAGTCTCTGCTTTCTCTCAGCCCAACCTCCACTCACCCTCTGCCTGTCTCTTCTCTGCCTCCATGTCTCACTCCAGGGTCTTTGTCCACCCCTCTCTAATGTCACTATTTCTGGCCTTGCTGATTTGCCTCACATCTGAAGGTGACACAAATTTCTTCCCTTGCCCGGTGTCATGCCCCTCAGCTCTTGCAGCATCTGTCTTCAAGGCCCACCCTGCCCTTCTGCTCTCCCTCCCATCAGCCCCTTCCTCCTCTTCCTCCTCCTCCTGTTGGCTGCCAGGCTCTCCTGCTGCCCGCTGCATGGTCTCCACTGTGTTCCCAGCCTCTCTTCTTTGGGAGCTTATGTTCTCAGGGTGTCCCTGCATCTCCCTTTTCTCTGCTGATCTCCTCATTGCTCCCCAAGTGGTCCTAGGGCGAGTGAATGGAGGGGGCCACAAAGGAGAAGCGTGGGAACCCATGGAGACCTCCTCGCTACTTGTATTTTTTCTTGGTCCTCCGCCCCCTCAGTTTCTTGAGTTCTTCCCTTCTCTCTGTTGCCACCCTCCTCAGTTCCTTCCTTTTTGCTTCCCTATCCCCTTTCTCCCCACTTCCCTGTCCTCCTATTCTCTGATTCTTCCTGGGGTAGGCCTTCTTTCTGGCTGCTCGGAGTAGGGGTGACCAAGAGCCTGGATGGGGTGGCTGTGTGGTAGGGTGCTGGAGATTCAGTCCAAGGCTAGCCAGGTCTTCTGAGGCTCCCAGTGGGTAGCTGACTGCCCCATTCCTTGCAAGCTGCTGTGGCCCACAGGGCCAGGCTTTCTCTAAGCAGCCCAGGTGTTGCAGTGACTCCAGGTGGCTGGGCTTATTTAGTTGGGGGGAGGACTGCTCCTTTTTCCACTTAGCCCTCCAGCCACCCACCCTCCCCTCCCCAGAGTCCTGCTCACTTGGGACTCTCCTCTCCACAGTTCCTTATCTGACTGCCTCCCTTCTAGATGGCTGGCCATAAATGGGCCAAAGATCCCCCATCTTCCAGCAAGCAAAGTGAAGAGGGTCTTGGGAAAGGAAGTTACAGCAGGAAGAAGTGAAGGAGAAAAAAAAGAGTCCCACGGAGAGAAGGAGATATGAGGAGGGTAAGAGAAGGAGAGGAGAGTGGGCTGAGGATACAGTTCTGGCTGAGGATACAGGAGGGGGGCCTGGCCTTGGGTTGCTTAGAGACAGTGGTGGCTGTGTCTGCAAGGATGATGGGCTACAGAAATGAGTTTTTGTGCCCTCTCAGAGACCTGCTCTAGACTGGAACTTGGGGGTCATTACCCCATACCTCAGAGGGTACCCCTACATACTAAACCTCCTCTTGCTGTCAGTGGTGGTGGGGTAGTGTCCATCAGAGCTGGGATATAGATCCATAGCAGATGGGTTCTGCATGCTCTAGGCAAGACTTAAAGGTTTTCCTTTATTTCCCTTAATGCTGAGGGTCTCTGGTCCAGAGAGAGGGCTAGGAAGAGAGGTGTCACCTGCTGAGGAGGAGGTGAAAGGGAGCGTCTGGGCCAATGCTGCACTGAGGATGCTCAGAGTCTTGCAGCTCTCCAGGAAGGCCTCCTTGGGCTGTCTATGAAGCCGCCCCTCCTCTCCTG